AGATCATAAGTAGGGACCAATCAAAATGCGTGCGTAATTCATGCTTATCATGTTATTTGAAATGGTTGGACCTACCTACCTACAAAATAGTACTCTTTTCCCGGCTGAAATTCGGGCTCATTGCTGGCGCTAAATCTTTGGTAAAACCAGTGCGCTTTGGTAAAACTTTTACGACAGAAAGCGATTCGTCCGCTGGATAGCGTTATCCGTCCCTTTAAAAAACTGGATCATCTGGGCGCTTTTTAAACGCTATTTAACAATTATTCCACGAGCGCGCGTTGGATATGAGGTGATAGATAGCCAACGAGGCGCGAGTGGAATATGAGGTGATAGATATCCAACAAGAGCGAGTGGAATAATTGTTTTATTATAAACGTCAAATTAAGTTATTAAATTTTATTAAATTCTATTAAATTTTATTAAATTTTTAGCTCCATTTTAATTTCAAGCTGACACGTACGCTTGCCATATTTGTAGATTATGGTATATTGGCTGATATACCATAATGCCTAAGCCAATAAAAAGTCTTGAATTGCATTATCCAATGATCTAGTTTTTAATAATGATTATTATCGCATGACTACTCCGGCTCCATAGAAAACCAAAGTGAAAGCTGACGTGAGTAGTGCCGGACGGGTTGACGTGAGCCGGTCTGGAAAAAGCCGTGCGGCCCTAGAGCATTTATGCGGCGACATTATTCGCTGTTATTACAAAAAAAAGTGGCGAAAGTAATGAACAAAAAATGTCACGACGCACGGACCTAACTGCACTCGGTCCGTGCGTCATGATCTCGAGCCAAATATTTCCCGTCTGGCCCTCCCACTCGGTCAATGGGGAGATTTTAGTTTTTTGCCCGTGTTCTTTTGTATCTGTATATTGTAATGTTTACAGGTGCTTCACATTGAAAAGCAAAAAGCTTTAATCGAAGTTAAAATCATATATTTTTTTTTTCAGGGAAATTTATCAAGGAGTTATAAAAGAGCTCATTTATGTTCGATTTGGTGTGGTAAACTTTGTTTTCCAAAGGATGTTGGGAGTTTTAGTGTTCCGTCCGACCAACAATCGTGCCTTTAATTCAGCCAGAAAAACTTTCTACTTTGCAGAAGTCATTGATGAATATATGCTGAAATTAACACTAACACAACGTTTTTAGTTTGTACCCGGTCTCGCTACACAAAAATACTCCATCGAAGTAGAAGAAATTTAGCACTCAAAATCGAATATAAATCTTTAATCTTTGATCTTATTTTATCTATATAGCGCCTGGTCCATAGGAAGATGCTCCCAAGCGCTTTACAATAATATAAAAACTTATTAACGAATAAAATCGATCCCTGGAGAGAAGAGAAGTAATTACAATTAAATATCTACAATGAGAATGATAATATCACGCATAATTCTAAATTCACAAGTTTAGTAAATTCTGGTCATAAAAATATGACTTACATACAACGGTAAGTAACTTTGAATAGATTAAAACTATAACTATAACTTATGGTAATTTAAATGCTATTTTGAAAAAAATGTCTTTAGCAGTCTTTTAAAAGATGACAGGCTTTCAGCGTGGCGGATCTCGTGGGGAAGGCAGTTCCAGAGTGTGGGTGCGGCATATTCAAAGCTGCGATCACCAAGAATACGGAGTGATTTAGATCTAGGATATTGAAGAAGAAGGTCACCAGTTGACCTAAGGCTGTATTTAGACGATTCTTTGAGTATAATGAGTTCGCGTGATAAGTTGGAGCTAGTTTATGAATACATTTAAAAGTGATCAGCAGAATTTTGAACTCAACGCGATACTTTATGGGTAGCCAGTGAAGACAGTGACGATTGTGTAATATGGTCAAAACGGCCGATCCTACAGATATATCGTGCAGCGATGTTTTGTACACGTTGCAATTTTTGTAGCTCGCAGGCAGGTAAACCATAAAGGGTACTATTACAGTAGACGAGGCGGCTTGTGATGAAGGCATTGACTAAGGTCTTAGTGTTCTCAAAATCTAGGAATTTTCTGATTTTTCTGATTTTTCTGATGTTATGAATACAAAAGTACGCAGCTTTACATGTGTTATTGATAAAAGTATCCATTTTAAGTTGGTCATCAAACCAACACCCCAAGTTCCTGACAACGTAGGATAGTGTATTGCTAGCCGAAGAGTTTCCACGGTTTTAAACTACTCCTTTATTTCACAGTCATCGCAGGGAGTGTAGACGTTCCAAATCTAAATTACAGAGTTGAAGTTAGTAAGGGAAATGCAAATGTTAACTTAAATCAAATAAAGACATTTACCCAGTGGCGTCTCACAGTTCTTCTGACCAGCAAGTCATAGAGTTGTAAATTACTTCTATGACGTCATCAAAATATACAAATTGCGGAATGTTGATTATTAACTGATTTCGGCAGGTAGGCTAACGAGGAGAGCTGCTTAATGATTATATTTCTTATATTTTTCTTTGTATTCGCGTCAACTTCTTCGGTGGTATCTAAGATGGATACAGGTAAAGTCTTCTTATCTATTTTGAACATCAGTTTAGCCAAATTAACTTTATATGTGGTTTCATTGGAAGACCATCCAGCCTTGCTTAGTACTTCAGACCTAGGCATATCCCATGGCCAGTTAAACATTAATTTTGCCACTCTACAGTGTAAAGACTCTAGTGCAATTAGGCCCTCCTTATTAGTGAGGCCGCCCCAGACAGTGATACCATATATAATTGATGGGTAGATTACTTTGAAGTATAAGTCCAGTAGCATGGGTCTTGGTAAGAACAAGCTGCGCTTCAGCATGTTAAGCTTATTTGCAAAGCTGATCTTTAATGCTTTGACATGGTAGTCCCAGTTAAGTCTGTTATCAATGTAGACTCCTAGCAGCCTGGTGTGTTTAACCCATCTTATACAATCATTCATCAGTTTTAATGACTGTAGTGGACCGGTGAAATTTCCTCGATGAATTAGCATGCCTTCGCATTTCTTGGGGTGAGGCAATAGTTGATTTCTTAAGCACCATAGCTCTAGTTCCTTGAGAGCAGCATTCAGTTCGGCAATAACAATGTCTACGGTGTCTCCGATACAGAACAGGGTGGTATCATCTGCATACATAAAAACAGTTGCATTTGTTATATTATCAGGTAGATCATTTGTGTAAAGTGCAAACAAGGTTGGACCGAGGACTGCTCCCTGAGGAACGCCTGTATTAAGGCGAGAAAAATCAGAGGCTGCGCCGTTAATGACTGTGAACTGTCGCCTCCCCTTTAAGTAGCTGTGAAGCCAAGCAGCCAGGTTGCCCTTGATCCCAAAGTCAATCTCGAGTTTATTCAACAATATTTTATGCGATACACAGTCAAAGCCCTTTTGAAAATCAACAAAAACCACGCCGACAACTTTATTGTTATCAACTGCTTGTCTGCATTGTTCTGTCAATTTTATAAGCATTAATTCAGTAGAAAAGCCTTTCCTATAAGCCCATTGGTTTTCAGTGACTAAACTGTGCTCGTAGAATGCATGGTTGACGATTCTTTGAGAGACCGCTGATTCAAGGATCTTGCTGGATATACTGAGAATAGAAATTGGCTGATAGTTGCCCATGTCGCTCTCATCGTCCTTTTTGTGGATAGGGCTCAGCCTAGCCACTTTCCATTGTTCAAACACGTGGCCAGATCTTAGACTTTCACAATAAATATGGTATAATGGATGGACCAACCCATTCGGGCAGTTTTTAGAGTTCTGGAAGAAATCTGGTCGGGACCGGTAGCTTTATTCCATTTAAGATCTGATAAATGCTTTTCAATTTCAGATTTTGATAAAATAACGTCTTTGATAGTAGGAACAGACTTTAATGTTCTGGCAGCGTTGACTTTTCTGAATGAAAAGCTCCTTGTTAGATTGATTCCTATATTAGAAAAGAAAGAGTTCATCAGATTTGATTTTTCCTTACTATCGACTGCCAGAGAACCATCTGCCCTCTTCAGGGGTCCAATAGCCTTTCTGAGTTT